AATAAAGGTATAATGCCATTTTTAATAACATTTTCTTTTCTATCTACCCTCTCCCACCCTTTTTTTTCTCTTCTTTCTGGATCCACCCCTCATGGTTCATCTATGTTTTCAAATATCAATATAAGAATGCCTATTCCAAATGTTACCTGAAATTATGCTCAATCTGTGTATCTACTAAATCTGGGAACCTCTTTGCAAGTTGTTTAGAGACAGTCACTTTATCGCCGTCATCGTTGCTGCTGATTTTAACATCGTAATGTTTGTTAATAACAATAAAGTTTTCACTTTTGTACAAAATCTCCAAGTCATCTATGGTTGCTGATTGGTGCATGCCAAGTAGTTTTCTCCAAAATCGCAGTCGCAGAAGGTGAAACGCCCTCAAAGTTTGTTGAATCATATACAGCCTAGGCTATATTACTAGTAGTAGGCCAACTAGGACAATACTGCATCTAAAATATTTTAAAATAGTATTATGCAGTAAGAAGTCAGAAAGTAATTTTTGTGCACTGTTTTTATATTTAACCTAGCAGGTAAAATACCAGGAAGCAATGGCAACACCTGCATTGGACTTTTAAACCCTCTGTCAAATATCCAATTAACACATCGAACCAAAAATTGATTTTTTTTTTAAGCACTGTTCTAAATTCCATTAAAAATTCAGTCCCAAGAGTGTGTAGCTGAATGCTATAGGAATTGGGTTACGACTGGTGTAACTGTATGGACTAGCCTAGCCCTAGCTACCTAGTAGGATATTTGGGCCTCACAAAAAGTTCCACAATTTCAAGACAATCGAGAATATAAATAAAAATACAAATTCGTTATTTTCTAGAAAGTATAACTTAGTATATACGGTATATTATATACTTGGAACCCCTACAGATCTAGACCTAGGTTAGAGATAGAGAGGACATACCTACCTGACCTAATAAGCGTCCTTTCCTACTCTCTCAGCACGTTGTTCTAACAACGTCTCTACCGTACCACCTCAGCCAAAAGGCTCATAATTAGCTAGGGAGGGCCTAGGCCTAGGCCAGGTCAAGTAAAATGTGCTGAGAAGAAACCATCAAACTGGCTTGACCGATTACATAGTAGGGCCTAACATATGTACAATGCATCTAATCAATGCGTGATCCTTTCGAGATTTTGGGGTGTCTTAACAAAATATAGTTTTCTTGTTCCGTAATATGTGGTGCAAAATCAAAACATTAGAAACCGACGGACAAGGTTTTCCCACGTATAGAGAGCAGTATTGCATTACATCATACCTCACATCATACATACACATAGTAGACGGTGCTCGAAGGAAATAAAATAGAGGGCGGCAGACTGAAATTTACTGATATCAAGGCTTCTAAATTAATTATGTATTAGTTGTTTGTTACGGTTCTTTAATTAAAACATATAAAGTTTTGAATCTTCACAGCAAAGATACAACGACAATTACAATCAATTTAACGTCAATTTAGTTGATTCATCGATATAAAATAACTAGTGAAAACGCTACCGATGATAAAATAAAAAAATGTGTGATCTTTATTAAAACGTGATTGCTGCCCTCTATAATTACCAATTATATAAAACTTTCATGAAGTTATTTTTGCATTCGATACCCAATGTTTTCGAGGAGATTATTGCAATAAATAATAATTATTATTAAATAATAATTATTAATAATTAATTATTGTACAATAATTTCTCTATTAACTCGATTAATTTAATTATGTTTCTGAAGAGGTATTAAAATTAATCGGGTTCCTCAAAGCAATGTGGTTACTTACTTATTTATAATTTTTAAATAAAAAATATAATAAGGTAAGAAAAAAACATAGCAAAATGAGCTTTCACCATGGCCAGAAATAGGCACCCTAGTCATTTTAGTTTTAGTCCATGCCTTCATTTCATCTAAGTTAGATTATTGCAACTCACTTTTTATTGCACTACCCGATACCACAATTCTGCGTTTACAAAAAATCCAAAATTCTGCTGCTCGTATTGTTTCACTGATCCCAAGACGTCAACACATAACACCAGCCCTAAAGTGTCTTCATTGGCTTCCCGTTAAAAAACGTTGTATTTTCAAATTGCTTCTTTTGGTATATAAGTTACTTGCGTTTCACAAACCATTATATTTGTTGCATCACTTAAAATGTCATGTACGGTACCTATCCGCCATATTCGTTCATCTTCAAAAAAATCTTTTGACAGTTCCATCTCCTCGAAACAAAACCAAAACATATGGTCAACGTGCTTTTTCTGTTCAAGCTCCTTCTCTGTGGAATTCTCTTCCTTTTTCTGTTCGTAATTCGCCTAATTTATATTCTTTTAAGAAGAACTTAAAGTTTCACCTTTTCGAGAAATGTTACTGAGTTTGTTTTTCTCCTGCGCCTTTGATAAATTTTTAAATTGGCGCTATATAAATGTTTATTATTATTACTCCCCGACTATCCCTATCGATTCTATGCAAGGTTATGCACCAAGCAAGACCATTATCTATAGGGTTCTCGGTCCCATTTGAGACAAATGAACTGAGGGAAGAAGCACCGCGACCCCTGTCACGTCTGCATAGCACATATCCATAAAACACGCTCACAAATAAGCATTAAGACGGACACAATAAACACAGCCACAACCTTGTTCGGTATAGGAGAGCCTTGTTTATTCAACAACAACCACAGTGCATAGCACTGTTACAGATAACCATACGCACGCGCGCATGTCGCGGCAAGTGCTTATTACTACTCTCTATAAAGTAGTACAGTACCATAATACCATCAGTATATAACAACCCCTAATCCATAAATGCGATGAACTTTGCACTAACAAGTACCTGTCAGTCGAATCTTGAGACAGAGCAATGGGGCTCTGTCAGCACAGAGAGGGCGGCAGACAGATAATCTATGAATATCAGCAAGCTGAAAGAAAGTTAAAGTTCTCGACGAAAATAAATAGAGGGCGGCAGACTGCAATTTACCGATATCAAGGCTTCTACATTAATTAATTACAGTAGCTGTAATTGTTACGGTTCTTTAAAACATATGAAGTTTTGAATCTTCACAGCAAAGATACACCGACAATTACAATCAACTTAATGTCAATTAAGTTAATTCATCGATATAAAATCAATTGAATCTTTCAATAACTAGTACGCTACTGATGATAAAAAATAGTAATGTGTGACCTTTATTAATACATGATTGCTGCCCTCTATAATTACCATCTAATACTTTCATCCTGTACGTGTTCCTCAAAGCAATAAAAAATATAATAGATAAGAAAAAATATAGCAAAACGAGCTTTCACCCTGGCCAGGAATCGGCGCCCTAGTCATTCCATCCCGACTAGCCCTATCCATTCCATGCAAGGTTATGCACCAAGCAAGACCATTAACTATAGGGTTCACTAACTCGGTCCCAATTGAAACAACTGAACGGAGGGAGGAAAGCACCGCGACCCCTAAGCCATAATGCGGAGAACCTAGCACTATCAAGTACCTGTCAGTCGAATCTTGAGACTACCTAACTCCGAAACTTGCCGGAAGCTCCCGCCCGCGAATACTCGCTAGTAGTACAAACAAACGACGTACACCTCGAAAATATGGCCAAGCGCTCAGAATGTATACTAGATCGGAATCCGTTCGAGAAAAGAGGCAGGTAACCTAATTAAAAAATCATATTCATATATATACAGCTGTGGGTCAATATTACGCATGGTCATGGTGTCAAATTAATTCAAGCTCATTTTTTAAAGTAAGAAAACCTTAAATATTGAAAATAATTGTTATTAATAACACGATAACCCGAATTGCCCGAATTAATATATTAAGTTTGTATTAAAGTATTCAAAATAATTGTCCGTTTTATTTGAAAAAATCATGTTATTAATAAGATTATAAAAATATTCAAATTAGATTATGCAAATATATTTTATTAATTATTCACAATTAGTAGAGAGGGCGATTTTACATTCTATCAAAAGAGAGAAAAAAAAGATAAATAAAAGGTATAAAAAATATATTTAAAAAAAATAAAAAAATAAAAAAAATATTAATAAAAATAAAATAAAAGGTATAAAAGGTGGTGGTATTCCAGCAAAACGTTTTCTCGAACCACAACACGCTTAGGTACAGTCGTAGACTAGGACGAGGCCTAGGGCCTAGGCCTAACGTAACGTTTGTGTTTTGGTGTAGGTCTAGTACCTAGGCCTACCTGAAATTTAAGGTAAGATGTTTCCTTACTACAAATAAGTACAGTTATAATAGCCATACCTCCCTGATTTTCACTATGCTTAGCAAGTAGGTTAGGACTGCGACAGTCCTTGCTAGCAGGTTAGTCCTGGTCACCACAGGCCTACGCAAGGCGCCGACGAGGCAATTCGGGTTATCGCGCCCAAGTGGGCCACCGCCGTAGTGGATATTAATGATTGAATTCCGCCGTGGGCTCGATACACTTTTTTTTAATACAAATTTTGGACAGGCTCTGTGTTCTTATTTTTGACCGATCTCAGGCTCAGAATGTACTTAGCCTAGTAGGCCTAGGTTTGTTCTTATTTTTACAAACTTTTCATACAGAGAAACTTTACAAATTTGTATTAAATTAACTGTGTTATAGCGGGTATTACATAGTCACACCCGCTGTAAATATGGAACAGCAGTTTTTCATTTTTCTAAATATAAAAACCTCATCATTTGACATTTTTACTGCCTCAATTTGCTCTTACTTTTTCTGAATTTTAAAGCAATTTCAGCCTCCCCTACCACCATGGCATGCGCTGTAACCTGGTTGTCTTTCATTATCAATCTTTGGCAGCACTTTTTATATTCCATGAGGATGAACTAAGTGAGGAGGCAAAACAAAACGCAGCCAAATAAAAAAATGTTACTGTAAATGCTCATATTTAAACTGCAAATCTTCATAAGTGTTGCACCAAACCAATTTTTTTTTTTTTTTTGCTAAGCGCCATTCTCAAATAAGGGCTGTAGTGCTTAAGAGTACATACTACACTGTGTGTAATGAAACAGGGTTTTAAATAAAATGTATAAAGTGGTAAAATGAATACAATGAAGACACAAACATTTCTTTATATTACAAATATTTATTATTAACTACTGGACTACAGGAATGCCTGTAGGTAACAAAGGACAATTAGTGCTGCACTGAAGCCTACACACATTGTATAAGTGCTGTGGTGCTTATATGAGCATTTACAGTATTTTGTCTAGCACCCAGTAATTGGATACACTGCATGAATATTAAGTAAACAAAAATTAATAATTAATTTGAAGGCCTAGTAATCATGTATTGCTTGCACTAAGAAAAGTTCAGATACTTTTTTTCTCACAAATTGATAATATTTTTTTATTCAAATAGGATAACAATAATGAGCTGGATGAAATCTAGGACAGGAGGAACAATAAAACAGATGAAGTTTAATAACAAGTCGTCAAGAAGTATCAGAATGATCTGGATGAATTTTGAAGGAAGACTGGTCAACGTTAAAGGTGGACATTTGCCCAACAAAAGTGTAATGATTCAGACATTTACAAGAGACACTTGGATTTTCGGTTACTATATTGCTGGAGACAAATTGCAGTTAAGGATAAAGACCACTTGAAAGAGGCTTTAACATGCAGAGGCAATGATCTAGTGGAAGTGGAAATCCATTCCAGTAGACACAAAAAAGATGCTTAGTGTTCTTTTTTTCTTGTCAATCAAGCTCAAAATATTCTTATTTTGGCCTTAATTTTTATGAAATTTCAGCTTCACTGTTCTTATAAAATGTTTTCTTATAAAATAAGTACATGTGAAAACCTTTTTCAAGGGGGCATATCTTAATTCTATATTGTCTCTTTTAATATTGTCTCTGAAAATGTGGGTAGTAATGTCCTAAATGTCTGAATTATTGTACTCTCTTGGGGGTGGGGGGCAAAAGCCCATATTTGTGAGGTCTCTACACGAAATGAGACGCATCGTTGGTGAAATCATATTGAGATATTCACCAAAATAAAAAACAAAAATTTTGATTTTAATGTTTTTGAATAACTTGATACTTATATTTTATGATTGTGTACTTTTTAAATGAATTTTCTTACTAAAACAATGTTCTCTTCGCATATTCTGTAATTCTAGTCCTATTATTTGTACAGGTTAGTTTATCTTAGAGGCCGATTTTCTCAAAACCTGGTTCTCATACACCTACACCAAAACTTTAAATGCTCACATCTCTGGATCCTAGGGAAGCCATTCAAAGACCAAATTAAAGCTTATTGTGATCTACCAAAATGTAATATAAACTCATTTTTTGATTTTCTAACGATGAGACTCATTTTGTAGTGAGACCTCACATTTAGTGTCAAGGAAAACTTTTTGATTTGTCAATTTGTAAGAAAGATTTATCTGAATTTGATTAGGCAAGACATTTTGTACATCTTGTCTGCAAATATTTATTATTTAAAATAAAAACAAAAAAAATTTGTCAAAGCTAAGAAAGTACAGTAGATGTACGGTAGTTATATGGTGATAGTTTGCTGTGAATTATGTTTTCTGTTTTTGGTTAAAATTTTTTAAAAATTTATACAGTATAAACTTTATATGCAGTTATTACTTAAGAGTGGAATCTTGTAATTTCTCCTTGAGGTGTTTATTTTGTGCATAGAGCTTAATGTGCCTTATAAATTTATTAATTTCTTGATTGATTGATTCAGGACTTAGGTTTTTTTCCTGTTTGGGCTCGGGTGTCTGTGTGTGTGTTTGGTGGGGGGGGGGGGCGTGTGTTTGTTTTTACATTGTGTGTTTTATCTGTTTTCTTTCTTTTGCTTTCTTTTTCTTATTTTATATTTTTAGAATTTTAATATTTGGTCTTTTAAATTTTATGATTAATTGATAGATTGGCTATTTTTATATACTTTTTATATATTTGTATTTAAGTGGGCCCCTGAACATTAGATTTATTCTGTAAGGGTCACCCACTCAAAACATGGTTTTAATAAATAAATAAATAAAAAGGACCTAGGGATTGTGAGCAGTGGTGGCGCCAGGCCAGTTGGGGGGGGGGAGGGAAGCATTCCCCCTCCCCCGGACGGGCCTGGACCCCTGTCGTCCGATAAATGACTAGGTCGTTGGACCAAAAATTAATTGAAACAATAACTTGCCTGTTCAAATAACACTTTTTTGATAGCTAATTGTGGTCTAAAAGCACCAAATCAAGCCATTAAAACTCTCCTCATGGACCCTAACAGTTATTTTTTTATTCCGGGCAGTCGACTGAGACTTCGTCGTCGCCTTAGTCCGGACCCCTCCGTCAGCAAATTTCTGCCGCCACCGCTGATTGTGAGCTCAGCCTGGTTTCCTTAAAATCGTTACACTGTCGCTACAGTGTTTTCGGTGTGTACTACATAGCGGTCCCGGACGCAATCGGCTCCCTGAATAAAGGCTCCCTCAACCGATCAACCGATCAGCATCGCTGAAAGCTGTTGGCTATAGCGTGTAGCGAATATATGGAAACCAAGCTTAATAACTCCTCTAAAATAATATTAAATCAAAAGCCTTCTCATAAACCATTAGATACCAAAATGATAACAATCAGAAGTTAATTTATTTAATCAATTAAATGTAATATTGTACAGAATGATAAGATAAACTGAGAAGGCAGCATAATTAATATACATTTTTCATGTCAATTATAATAAATTAAAATAAATTATGCTATCAACTAAAATGAGTTGAAATTATTAGCATATGTATGACAGTTAAATATGATGTGCTTAAGTAAAATGTTCAAGAAATAAAAACTGATGAATTAAAGTTTTCTGTTCATTTATTCATTCTTTATTTTGTCTTTTATAAACATCACAATACAATTTGTACATACAGTAAAATAAAAATAAGAATAAAATCAAAACATGACACTTAAATTGGGGAAGGGGATTGATGGTTATGTAAGGGGAGGGGTGTGGGTCAAACTTACAAAATAATGTGATAAAAAAAAACGGATTCTAACATAGCATTTGAACATAAAAATCTCATGAATTCTATACCTATATAGGCCTATATTGGACCGTAACAGAAGAGAAATCTGAAAACTAAGAAAAAAAACTCGGCCTTGCCGCAGGACTTAAACCTAGTACCCGGCCTTTTAGTTGACTTTCCCTTCTCTAGAAGCTGAAATCACCTAGTTTGTGTACAACATTTCCTGCACGTCCCTTCAAAACTGGCGACGCTGGGCGCTTTTGACGCTTTTAAAGTTTGAAACCCCTGTTTTGTTTTGTAGGTGTAGGCAGTGACGCCGTCCATTGAGATAGAGTGGGCCCGGAGGGGGATTTGAGAGATGGAGGATCAATACTACATCAGGCACACCATGGTTGGGGCTGAGGTAAAAAATTATGATTATGACACCTCTAGATGGCAGGAAATGGCACTATTAAAATCAAAATTTCAGTAGAATTTTCTTCTTTTTTCTCAAAACTTTAAATTTTGAAAAATTAAAGGCCTCCCCTTTGAATCCGCCTATGGTGGGGAAACCCTAGGGTCTAACTTTAAAAAAAAAAGCTATGAACGTTTGTTGTAAATCTCCTCTAGTTTATGCGTACAAAATTTCATGCAGGCCCGTTCAAAACTGGCGACACTGGAAGCTTTTAAAGTTTTTGTAACAAAAACAAAAAATAAAAACAAGAACAAGAACAGGTACTAGCAGTGAGGCTTTGGGTTGGAATAGAGTTGCTGTTTGTTACGGTTCTTTAAAACACATGAAGTTTTGAATCTTCACAGTAAAAATACACCGACAATTACAATCAACATAATGTCAATTAATCGATATAAAATTCAATTATATCTTTCAATAACTGGTAAAAACGCTACGAACCGATGATAAAAAAAAATAACGTGTGACTTTTATTAAAACATGATTGCTGCCCTCTATAATTACCGATTATCTAAAACTTTCATGAAATTATTTTTGGTAGTTGCTAAATACAACGCGTTTAGCCGAGGGGGCGTGACTTCATGACGTTGACGTCATGCATAATTTTAGCTTCTGTATATAGTTGTCTTCTAGTAGTACTCTTGACTAGCATTGATTTAGTTACCATATGACAATTTCCTGTGTTAAAAACATGATTTACTATACTATCTTTATAAAACATAACTTGTACTTTATAATAAGAGAAATCTGTATATATTATCGGTACCTCTGGAACAGTACGAAAGTACTATCTATGCTTCTGCACTGTAATACATAGGCCTATTTTAATACACTACTTATATAGGCTTTTCCTTTTCCATCTTGATTTCAGAGGTCAAAAACTTTTTTCAATTTTTTTTCAACCATATAGTGGACGTAGAATAGTCTTTTGAGAACATTTTCCAGAAAAAACTTAATATGATGCGACCCTCCGTTATGGAGTTATGAATTTTTAGATAACATGAGGACAAGAATTCAGCCTAAAAGCTTATCTTATTTCTTTTGGTTACGCACCACTGACTTGGGTTGTTTGTCATGCTTCAAGAATTGCGGTTGAGTCCATTATTGTTAGGGAATACCATCTTCTTAAATGCATACCAACATGTCTATGCTCTCATTAAAATGTATAAGAGTTGAATTAGAATCGATTTTATTTATAGTAGACTCACTTAAAACTACGTTTTTAAAAATTCAAAAAAAATATTGAATGCATGACTTATATTTAGCGTATATAAACCCAATTTAAGATAATACCATTTTGTTTTGGTCAGGGAATTTCCAATATGCTAATGAGGTGGGAAAACCCCCAACTTTGGTAAAGCCAAAACGCAATCATTTATAGCCTAGGCCTAGACTATTGCTTGTGTTTCTTAACTAAGAAATTGCAATCGAATTCGATAGTGAAAAAAGGCTAAATCTCAACGTATTGAAAGCTAATAATAATAAGAAGGCGTTTTGTTGTCATCGTTTTTGAAATCAAATGCGAGAAGTATCAAAATACACAGGCCAGCTCCGACCGAGTCTGACGAGTTACTCTTTAGCGCGCCTGTCTAGGGGTGCGAGGATTGTAATGTTGTAATGTTAAGTGTAGTGATGTGACCCTCTATTTCAGGTAAAAAAAAATGGCCTCCTGCAGCTTAACTCTAGTATTGTTTTAAGTGTAAAGTAAGGTCTGTGCGTGGTCGCTTACTTACTTTTTTATAGGCCCGACCCTTCACTTGGGATTTATCCTAAGTCTAGCTAGACCGAGGCCTATTATAGGCCCTAGTAGTAGGCCTAGTGCAGTAACTTTAGATTGTAGTAATTGTTATCGAATTCGATCCAACTCGGCCACAAGTCAACTCGGCCACAAGTTAACTCGGCCACAAGTCAACTCGGCCACAAAAAGTTTGGCTACAGTCAACTCGGCCACAAGTCAACAAGTCAAATATTACTAATTTATTGTCGTTATTGTTGTTTAATATTATTGTTGAAGTAGAATGTTGTGAGTAAACAGAAGACGAACACATTAATAAATAACTCTTTTTAATTCATAGGCAATAGCATTCAAATCTCTTTTGGTAGTGTGGTGGTCCT